AGTCAGCGTCGGCGTCCCCAGAAGAGGAGGCGGAGACGGAGGCGGCAGCAGCCTCTGCGCGGAGCTCCGCCTCCACGTCCATGTTGCCCAGAAGGTCGCCGGCGGCGGTGGCGCGGGCGCGCGCCAGGGCGCCGGCCCGGGCCGAGCCGCAGTCGCCCGGCGCCTCGCCGGTCCAGTTCACCCGGTCGTGGTCCGGGCCGATGAACAGCTGCAGACAGACGAGGGCGGGGTGGCGGCGCAGAGCACTGACCACGTCCACCGCCAGGCGGAGGCCCCGGTAGGTGGGCGTCACCAGGACGACCTTCACCGTGGTGACGTTCGGGTAGCGGCGCGCCAGCGTGTACGGCGACAGCACCAGCTGGCGGACCTGCTCGGCAGTGAGCAGCACCCGGGGCTCCTCCTCCAGCGGCAGGTTGTGATTGGGCGTCACCTCGTAGCGGCTGTGCGCCTTGCGCCGGAGGAGGGGCCACCGGGGCTTCGCCTTCAGCTTGTAGCCAAACTGAATGTTCTCGTCGTACTGGCCGCCGTCGTCCAGCAGCATGTACAGCGCCCTCTGGCGGAGGTGGCTGTCCGAGGGGGCGGCGGCCGTCTCCGCCGCCAGTCGGCGCCGATTGGGACGGCGTGGAAGGGTGGCTTCAGCCTCAGCAACAGCTGTAACGTAAGGTCCGTAGGCGGGCAGAGTCGCCTGACCGGAAGTAGAAGTTGAAGTTGAAGTAGTGGCCGCTGCTGGAGCACTTCCTGAAGCGTCAGCAAAAGCTGTCGGCGTTGGAGCGTAGAGCAGCTGAGCCGCTGGAGCAGCTCCCACTGGAAGAATCTCCGAAACGCTGGCTCGCAGGTAGTACTTCAGAGCGGATGGTGGTTCTCTTGAAGCAGATGCTTCGTGCTCTGAAGAAACAGCCGAAGAAGAAGAAGAAACAGCAGCAGCAGCAGAAGTAGTCAAAATTCCGGAAACATTCTCCGGAACGCCGGCCAGCCGGGCGTACTCCGGAATAGTTGGAACCCGTTCCGGAACTGCGGTCGAACTTGTGACTCCTTCCGGAACTGAACCGGTCGAAGTCGTTGAAGCAGCTGTGGCAGAAGTGGCAGTGGCAGTGGCAGTGGCAGTGCTGCGAACCACCGTCACCACAGGCGAGCCCTCCTCACTTCCGGTGGGCAGGCCGGCCACCACCACCCGCCGGGGCACGTACACCGTCAGCGGCTCGGGAAAGCTGAAGCTCGGCTTCCGGTTGAGAAAAGCCGGCTCGTAGGCGGTGACGGTGGTGTTGTGCGGACTGACCGGGTCATCGGCCACGATGGAGAAAGAGGAAGAGGAAGGGGAAGGGGAAGGGGAAAAGGAGGAGGAGGAGCCGCGGTGATGCTCAAAGATGAATCGATTTCGGCTTAAGTCAAGCGCCGTCTCCGTGGTGGTGTCCACCAACGGCAGCTGCAGCTGAGTGGGTCGATTTAGAGGCGGGCGAGGATCGGCAGATTCCTCGTCCATTGTCACAAAGCTGGGTGATTGCAATTTTTAATTTTGCGATGCCTGCAAAAATAGAAAACAAGTTTGTGAGTAAGTGCTGGTTGTGAACAAATGATAGAAACTGTACGACCTGTTAAAGTTTTAAGTATTTTCGGTGATTGTGGTTGAGGCTGAGGCTGAGGCTGAGGCTGAGGCTGAGGCTGAGGCTGAGGCCGAGGCTGAGGCTGAATGATTTTTGTCACTCAACGAAACCAGTTTATATATGTTAACCAGCGGATACTAAAGTTCTGATTAGCGTGAGAGAGAGAGAGAGAGAGAAAGTGAGAGAAAGCGAGCGATCGAGTTTGTTTTGATAACTAATGAATGCCTCGCAAAAGTGCTCACCTCGCTTGATTAGCCGACGGAATACCGGTGCAGGTGTTGGTGAAGGTGATGCCGCCATTGTCGCCATTTCATTGAACTGATTATTGCAGCAAGGTGAAATCGTCCTCGTGCAATTAGCCGGAATAACTAGTAGCTGATGACTAGTAGCTAATGAGCTGAAGCCTTGTCTTCTTTTTAGGCGTTGACAGCCTCGGAAATTCTTCTCTCGTTTGTTGTTTTAGCAAACTGACTAGCTCTCGGTTGTCTGGTTTTTTTGCTGACTGTCTCGTTTGCCGAGCAGTTTTTTGTTTTTGTTCCTTTTGTCGCTGCCGAAAGCCGCCGCTGTATAGCCGTTTAAAAAACAATTTGTGCCGTTGCAATTGTAAACTTAAAATTGTAAAGTAAGTTTTAAATTTGAAAATGCTTTTTACCTGTCTACGCTAACTTGACAAGTTAGTCGGATAAAAGTGCGCTGGTAGACACTACCAAATGGTACGTCATCTTTTCAGAAAGTTGCTTCCATTAAGTCACACCGGCCACATCGCAGCAAAAACCGATCAAAAAAAGCAAAACATTGGTTAAGAAAAAAAACATTTTATAACAAAACTTTAACAGTTAACAAGAAACAACAATACAATTTAATACAAGCTAGTCAGTCCGATTACATTGCTCCTATGGATTAAAGGGTAGTTTACACGCTAAAATAGTAGTGAAAATTATAGAAAAATATAGGGAAAAGCGGTTAAAAAAATGAAAAGTAAGAAAAGTAAGAAAAGTAAAAAAAGTAAAGAAAAGTAAAGAAAAGTATAGAAAGTAAAGAAAATAAAGAAGATATTCAGGGCATGAAAGTGTAGGAAAAAAATAACATCTTCATCATTCGTACTTAAGTAGAATAGAAAAACGAAGATTTAGTTGAAAGGCGATGATTTGATTTGATTGCAATTGTGTTAATTCAGGTGTCCATTACCGTCTCCACGTTGGCCAGATAGGACGCCAGCTGTGACTTGTCATCATCATCATCGTCGTCGTCGTCGTCAAAATCATCTTCCTCCTTCTTGTTTAACACTTTGTTTGAACTGTTTTTGCTGCTGTTCCTCGCTCCAAAGCTGACCAGCTGATCAGTTTCAAGGCCGGAGAAGAGCATTTCACTGTTGTCGTCGTCAGCGTTTTGGTGGTGAGCACTGAGAAAGCGGTTCATGTCATACTCCTCCTCTTCCTCTTCCGCCTCCATGACGGCATTCTCCTCATCATCGTCGTCCAGCTCCCGGTCCAGGCAGCAGTCCTTGTCGAGGGCCGACTCCTCGGCGTACAGTCCTCCGGCATCGAAGCCTTCTTCCTCATTTTCTTCCTCACCTTCATCTAGTCCTCCTCCTTCTTCTTCTTCTTCTTCTTCTTGGTTTTCATAGTCTTCGCCCTTCATCCTGTGCATTCGTCGGNTTCGGCGTACAGTCCGGCGTCGAAGCCTTCTTCCTCATTTTCTTCCTCACCTTCATCTAATCCTTCTTCTTCTTCTTCTTCTTCTTCTTGGTTTTCATAGTCTTCGCCCTTCATCCTGTGCATTCGTCGGTTGATTAGTCCGTGAAATCCATTCACCTCATTCAGTCCGTCGTTGTCCCTTCCATCGTCGGCTCCATTCCGTTCGTTCATCCTCGGGCCAAGCCCTTTACTTGCCATGGCCACGGCCATGGCCGCCGCCCTGTTCCGTCGCCTGCTGCGCTCGCGCCGCTCCTCCCTCGGATCCAACTTCCGCTCATCGAAGATCATCTGCACGTACTCGTCCTCCCGCTGGCGAATGTCCGCCAGCGTCGCCATCATATTCCTCGCCCGCATCTCCTTCTTCGTCTTCGGGAGGTTAAAATGGACCGTCCTGATGTGCGACCGGGTGTTCCAGAGGTAGCGGCTGGCGCGGTTGCAATTAGGGTAGATGCACTTGTAGATGTACGGCTCCTGGCAGCGCTGGTAGATTCGGGTGCAGGCAAAAGGGGAGTCCCGGTCGAAGAACTCCGGCCCCAGGCGGTGGCCGTTTATTAGGTGGTTTCGGTTGGTGCTGCTTCCGCCACTTCCGGTTCCGTTGCAGGCGTCCCAGCGCTTCTTCAGCAGGCTCATGCCGTTCAGTATGTCGGCGGCTCGTTGCGTCGGCGAAGGAAGGGAGAAACGAGGTGGCACGGAGGTGATTCCCTTGGAGGAGGAGGAGGAGGAGGGGGGAAGATTCGGATCGGGAAAGACGTTCCGGTAGAGGACCGGCTTGTTCTCCTGCAGCTGCTCGGCGAGCGGGCGGACGGAGATTGGCCGTGGCGGCTCGGCTGCTGCTTTTGTTGTTGGAGTAGAAGAGGGCTCGGTTGATTTGCTGCTGCTGATTTGCATTTGAGACTGTGGTGGTTGAGACGGTGGTTTTGGTTTTGGTTTTGGTTGTTGCTGTTGTGGTTTTGGTTGTTGTGGTTGCTGAGAAGGAATTTGCCGCACAACGAACCGTGGTGTGGGAGTTTGCTGAGAAGAAAGAGCTGGAGAAAGAGGTAGTTTTTGAGGAGAAGAAGAAGAGGCTGCTGCTGCTACTGCTATTGATGAAGATAACTTTGTTGGTGAAGATGATGAAGTGGATGAAGATGATGATGATGATAAAGAAGAATATGATGAAGATGTAGAGGAGCCGCCAGCTCTGCTGACCGCTGCCGCTGAAGGTAGTACGGTGAAGGCGGTAAACTTGCCGTGCTGCATCACCTTCAACAGTCCGGATTGTTGCTGCTTCGAAATGCTATTGTTTAAAATTGGAGAATTTGTTTGCTCACTGTTTGTTTGTTTGGCCTTGTTAGGGCTTGTTTTTGTGTTTTTGTCTTTGTGCTCCTGTTCAGGGATTGTTTGTTTGTGATCAGTTCGTTCGGTTTGCTGTTGAGTTTTGCCGGAAGTATCGACCGAAGAGGAGGTAGCAGAAGCTGTTGTGGTAGCGGAAGTTGTGACAGTAGCGGTTGAAATAGCGGAAGTAGCGGAAGTAGTAGTAGTAGTGGAAGTAGAAGTGTTTTGACTATTAGAGCTGCTGCTGTTGCTGTTGCTGTGGCTGCTGCTGACCACTACCACCTTCTTCACCACCAGCAGCTTTGATGGTGACGGCGAAGAATTAGTCAGCTGCTGTTGTTGCTTTGGAGAAGATTCAGTGGTCAGCTGTTGCTGAGAGGAGTTATTGATCGGTTGAGGTTGAAGTTGAGGTTGAGGTTGAGGTATCACTGGTGAGCCCTCTGTGACCTGTTTGTTGTCCGTAGTTTGCTGTGAAGTTGTTGTTTGCTGAGTGCTGGGCTGACTTTTTGCTGATACTGACTGCTCCGAAGAAGAAGAAGAAGAACTTCCACTGATGAGTTTCACCGAGGGTGGCTGCTGAGAGCTAGTACTACTACTACTACTCCGCAGTGGGATGGTCTTTCGATTCACCACGATGATCGGCTGGCGGACGAGGTGCTCGCCCGCCGTGGAGATCGGCCGCGGATTGAGCATCTGCGGCGTGGCCGCCGAGTTGAGGAAGAGGTTGTACAGGCCCTTTCCCCGGCGTCTGTTGCCGCTGAGGCTGCCGCCATTCTCCACGGCTGATCCATCATCATTATCATCTCCACCCTCCTTATCCTTATCCTTATCACCCTCCTCCTCATCCTCATCATCAAGCTCAATCACAGTTGGAGTTGGCTTTTTACTGGGGTGGTGATTTCCACCATTGCCGCTTTGAATAGAGGCAACAGAGCCGGCAATGTCTCGGGGAAGAAAGCGCTTCCGCCCGGAGGGAGGCGGCGGCAGGTTGAGCCGCGTTCCCACGCCGCTTCGCTGTCGGCCATTGTGCGTCCGCTCGATGTGCACTATTACCTCCTGGCGGTAGGCGAAGGTCTCCTGGTGCTCCGCCCAGGTGCACTTGAAGATGCCCTTCTCGTGTTCTCGACTGCAAAAAACAGATAAAAAAGAGGTTTTAGAATCGAGGATTTTTGGCATAAACTTATTTTGTACAAAATGATCTTGCACCAAAGTGTACAAGCACCTACCGAACATGAGAGTAGAGGGTGTTGTAGTGGGTGAAGACGCGATTGCGGCAGAAGTAGCACTCCCAGCTGCTATTATTCGGGTGGTACTTGGAGTTGTGCTCGCCGGTGGCCGTTCTGAGGTGGTGAAAGAGGTGAGAAAAAAGTAAACCAAAACAAAAAACCGTCAGTAAATTGCACTTAAGTAAAGTCACATTTTGTACTGATGAGTAGTACAAGATTTTTTACCGATTCGGAAAGGAGGAATCTCGACAGCCGGCCCAGCACCGGAAGGGATGCAGCCGATGTTCAGTGAGGTGATGGGCATCAAGCAGTGTCTTGTCGGGAAAGAAGCGGCCGCAGCCCTCGGCCCGACAGGCCAGCGCCAGCATCAGTACCGACATGCGGCCGTCCTTCTTGGCGGTGCTGCCATCTCCAATTCCGTTTCCGGCCCCTCCATTGGACTGTGAGGAGGCTGATGCTGCCGCCGCTGCCGCTGCTGCCGCCGCCTGGCGGGAGGCGGTGACGTTCTTCGCCAGGCTGACCTCCTTATCCTGGAGGTACTCCCGGAACTCCGCCACCTGGCGGTCGTTGGCCTTGCCGAGGAAGGCGGCGCTCTCCTGGAGGCGTTGCCGTCGGCGCCGTTGGATTGCCTGCGTCGTCTGCGTGGGCAGCACCGTGAGGGGGCGGATGCTGATCTTGTTGCCAAGGTGGAGACTGTTGGTTTGGTTGTTGATTTGGTTGATGTACTTGTTTGGACTAGGACTAGGACTGTTGTTGCTGTTGTTGTTGTTGTTGTTGTTGCTGCTGTTATTGTTTGAAGTTGTTTTGAGAATGAGGCCGTTTAGGCTGGCTTTGTTCAGGTGTATCAGCTGGCTATTGCTAATGCCGCTGACTTCGTTTGGCTTTATCAGCCTCAGAGACTGCTGCTGCAGGCCGCCACCGTTTGTCGATCGGACGATGATGAGCTTTGGCTGCTTGCTGGCTCCTGGTGGTAGTGGTGGTGGTGGTGGTGGTAGGCTTCCGNAGAAGATAAAGAGGAGTTGATGGGAGTATTGGTGGCGGTTGTGGTGGTGGAGGAAGAAGAAGAAGAAGAAGAAGAAGGCCTGGCAGTGAGTGGCGTCAGTGGTGAGGATAAGGTCCCCTTTTGGCCCTCACTTACGGGCTTCAGTTGAATGAGAAACACCGATTGCTGACGACGGTCACCTGTTTGGCCGCTGTTTGGCACGGAGTTGAGCACCGGAGTTTTGAAGGTGGTGGCAGCGGTTGTGGTGGTGGTGGCAGCGGTGGTGGCAACGGGACTGGAAGTAGAAGTGGAAATCGCTGGTAGGCTTTCCGAAGTCAGAGCAACTTCCTCCTCGACAATCTCCTCTTTGATTCTTATCGCCGGAGTCGTCGTTGTCGTCGTCGTCGTTTGAGAAGACCTTTCTCCATTTTCCTTTTCCTTTTCTCTTTGCAACTTTTTCTTCTTCTCTTTCTCTTTCTCCTTCTCCTTCTCCTCTTTCCTCTTCTGCCGATCAAGGCGATGTTCTCGACTACTACTGCTGCTGCTGTTGTGTTCAGCTCCATCAGCAGCAACATCAGGAGGAAAGAGCTGCTCGGCGTTGACTGGAACAGTCTCGCTGTTCTCTTCCAGTGGCTCCTCCTTGATGGTCACTCCTGGCGGAAGTTGGGCGGTTGTGGTGGTGGCGGTGGCGGTAGTGGTGGTTGTGGTAGTGGTAATAGCAGTTGAAGCAGTAGGAGAAGAAGGTGGAGAACTAGTAGTAGAAGGAGAAGAAGAAGGCTGTGATGTGGTCTGTGGTGGTGATGGCGGAAGTGAATGCTGGACAGGCGGCTCTAGGCTGATCGACTGTTCGAGTGGTGGTGGTGGTGATGGCGGAGATTCAGTGGTAGTCGAAGTCGTGGTCGAAGTCGTCGCCGCCGGTGGCTGTTGCTGCTGCTGCTGCTGTTGCTCGCTTGATGGTGGTGGTGATAGTGGTGGCGACAGTTCACCCTGTAGGAAGTTCGATAGAAGCGGTCCACACACCTCGCTGAGCTTTGCCAGTTCAGGGCTGTTATCATTTGGCTGCGGTGGTGGTGGTGGTGGTGGTGGTGATGGTAGTGATGGTAGGGCTACCTCTTGTGGAAGTTCAGGCTGTGGTAGTAGTTCACTTCGGTCAACCTCTTCAGAGGACTCTGCCTGCTCTGCGCTTGAAGTTCGGCCATCTTTATCACCATCGTCCTCGTTTTCCTCATCGTTGTCGTTGACATTCTCATCATCATCATTATCAGCAGCAGCAGCAGCAGCAGCATTGTCATCAACAGGAGCTGGTAGTGGTGGTAACTCATCATCATCAGCAGCAGCAGCAGCAGCAACATCACTTTGGATCAAGGGAAAAGTAGGCCTCAGCTGAGGATCGGCTGGCTGAGACATCGAGCTCATGGTCAC